CATTGATGTTTTTATATCTCTCTCCCTCTCCCTTCCTCTCCGAAATCAATAACAATATTAAAATAAAAAAAGTTTTAAAAATATAAATCTTATGAAATATATAAAAAGAGTTGGCTCTAAGAGGGAACTTTCCATAGGTGGGAACATCCAATGCTAAATTTTCTCATCCTAGGTATCTGTGGTCTGGAACAGAAAAAAATGTTTTTCACTTGTGGAGGATTTTTGCCTTAGCGATTTGATTTTTAATTGTGAGAATTTCCTTCTGTGCAACTCATTATCTTGTATGCTAAGAAAACTCACTTCCTAAAATGGTTACCAGAGTACATGTGTGCCTATCTGAGTGTGTATGCAAGCACATGTGTATGCAAGGACAAGAGACAAACATACTGAGGGAGAAAAAAGAGGGAGGGAGAAAGGGAGGGAGGGAAGGAGGGAGGGAAAGAGAGAGAAATAGTGATGGCCCGGTGCTTTCCAAATGGATGGAACGTGATGGCCAGTCTGATCAGGGGCTAGTGTGACAGAGTCACAGCCTTTCTAGGTGCAATTCTTCTGAATTAAAAGAAAATACATTTTTTACCCTGTCCATCTGTCTTAGGTTCTTTTGCTCAGGACTGAATGCAACTAGGATTATTGCATGTGGTTGATGGTGGATATAAGATAGAAATAGCAGCAAAACTAGCTGACAGTCACAGTACTGGCTCACATGCTAGGCACATGCTTTATTTCACATTAATATTTACTTGGACTTTTTATTCAAAAGATATTTATTGGTTATTTTTTCTGTCCCAAGAGCAGTTTGAAGATCTAAGGCTATAGGTGTGAACAAAATAAACATAGTGGGTTTGGAAAAGGGGAGCGAGGCAAGGAGGCAGCCAGATAAGGGCGCTCCCTAGCAAGTCCAGGACCACATGTCGTAATGGTCTGTGACCTGGTTGGGATTCAGAGGTTCCTGTCTGGTGTCTGCTCTTATCTGGTTGTGTGACTTTGAGCAAGTTTCTTCCCTCCTGTGGGCCTGTTACAATATAAGGGCTGAGCCCAGTGTCTGTAAAGGTCCTTGCCAGTTGTCCATTCTGTGGTTATACAATATGTTATCTTGATAATCTAGGAGAAATCTCTGATTGTCCCTGAAATAATGGTGCAGAGGCTCTGGGGCAAGTGTCATAGCTGAGCTCAGAAGAGAGACACACATGGACGCGGGCTCTGAGGGAGGGGCCTCCACACTGTCTTCTAGTCTCAGTCATAGAAGTGAGATTTCTCAATGGATACAATATCTCTCTTTCCCCCTCACCCCCAAGTGTGTGGGTTCTTAATATCTTCCACTTCTTTAACACACACACACACACACACACACACACACACACACACACGTCAGATTTTGCCCTCAGAACATCTCTAGACCCTGGTCAAAGGAAGCTTCTAGGATGAGAGGAGTCCCAGGTCCTGACCTCAGGGAGCAATAGGCCAACTTGGGCAACTCCAGTTCTGATCTCCTGATTGGGGCTGGTGGTACCATTGGGTTAAAATTTTTGTTTGGTTCATGCCCTTAGAAGCACAGCTTCAATCACGTAATTAATGTCAGGATTTGTGGATGCTGAGGCTCTAAGGAACCTTAGAGATACTCTAGTTTACAGTTCCTGACTATGAAGATGGTAATAAGTCCTGAAATGAGCTAATCAGAGGGACTGAAGAGAATTTTTAAAGACCAGAAAATCTTTTAAAAAGAATAGCCCAACAGGTCAGATGACCTGTCTCTCCTGGCAGGGGCCAGATTGATGATATGTGTTAGTCCCCTGTACCTCAGAGATGCCAGGATTCTGATCCTGTGAATTCCTAATTCTCTTCCCTTCTTACCCCGTGAGTCTACTGGACTACTATTGCATGAGTCCACAAGTCTCTGATTTTATGAGCTTGTGTCCAAAGGGAAAGATATGTTTGAAGATAGCCCTGTGATTCACCCTGGCAATTGGACCAGTCATCTGACTTCACCATGCCTTGCCTTCTCAGTCTGTAAAATGGGTGGGACACAACCCACCCACCTGTTTTGGTGGCACATGGAAGCGGCATCTCTCACTAGTGATGTTAATACTGCTTAAAGATGTCAAACCCATTAGTGAGAGCCTAACCCCACAGAGCAGGAAGTGATCCAATCAGACCTCACAGATGGCACAGGACACACAGATTGGCTAACAGCAGAATGGGCTCTCACCACATGGGGGAAAGAAGGTGGTCTAGGTTCTACCATCAATGTAAAGCATCCTCATTCATGCATCCATTTCTGTGTTTGTCTAGTGAATGGTCCCCAGGTCCTGGGCTAGAAGCCAAGTGATATACAGTGAACATGTCCATAGTTGCCAATACATGGAATTATAGTCTAGTGGGAATAACTCCATGGATGACTAGGAGGTGGAAATGTACATTTCCTTTGTAGAATAGACTTCCACAATCATAGATTATCCCAGGAGGGGCCTCATCTAGCTCTTTATTTCAGAGTGGATGGATATGATATATATAATGGAACACTACTCAGTTATAAAAAAGATGTGACAACATTATGGATCTCAAGAGTATTATGCTAAGTGAAATAAGTCAATGGAAAAAGACAAAGAACATATTATTTAACTCATATGGAGAATATGAAAAAAAAAGTAACAAAGGAACTAATAAAACAAACTCATAGTACAGACAGCAGGATGGTGGATACCAGAGAGGAAGAGGGACAGGGGGTGGGCAAAGTGGGTAAAGGGGATCAAATATATGGTGATGAAAGAAGACTAAAATTTGGATGGGAAACACAGAATACACAGATGTTGAATTAGAATCTTATACATTTAAAATTATATAATATTATTAGCCAGGGTTATCCCAATACATTTGCAGGCCACAGTGGAATTGCTCTGTGAGGCAGGGGCAGAATCAGGACAAGGGCTTAGTTCCATTTGTGCCTTGAATGCCACAAGATTATTATGAAGATCAAATGAAGAAACACAGATAAAGCAGTAGGACGGTATTTAGTACATAGTTAAGTTCTATATATATATATATATATATATTATTTCTACCTCTCTTCCTATATACTCTGCACTGGGGAAAGAAAAGGAGGCAGAGATTCAGGGACAAAATTATATCCACAAATAAAAGGTAATGTATTATAATGCTAAAAATCATGGCTTATGAAGGCCAACTGCCTACATTTAAATGCTAGCTTCTCTATTTATTTGCTTGTGACAACGGGTATGTTCCTTAGTGTTTCAGGGCCTCAGCAACATGGCCATCTGTAAGCATACATGTCTCATGAACTGTTTGGCACAAAGGGAATTCAACTAAATGTTAGATTGTACTATTATTGTTATCACATGGTGTTCCTTTGGTTGGAATTCCCCCTGTGCTTGGCTCTTGGGAATATAGGCATGGTAATGAGGTTCAGAGAGATGAAGATGAGGCAGATAATAGAGCATGAGAAGGTGAGGAAAGATACCCTAGATATAGATCCTGGAGTTTGGGATCATCATGAATTCACCTCGTTTCCCAAATAAACTTAGAATAACCCATTGGTCCATGGAACAAAGCATTTCTTGAGGGCCTTGCTGCCATATTGAGGCCGAGATGACCAAGCCAAATGCTTTATGTGCAGTAACCCAGACCAGCAGGAGCTAACATCAAAGTCCTCAGAAAGAACACTTCATTTAGTCTGAACAAATGCAGTGTAGCTCTTGGCATGGCTAGTGTGAAAAATTGAGCCACTAATCACATCTTAGATAAGTTCTCAAGTGACCTAGAAACAACTTCATGGGGACAGATCTCATCAACATCTCTCCTAACTTGTAGAAAAAGAAGATGGACTTGCTTCATGAAGAAGGCAACAAGAATAATTTAGGCAAATTCAATGTCAAGCAGAGACATGCCCTGCCTATGACAGAAGAGCCAGACATACTGGGGAGGAATCTCACCAATGCCGTGCTGGCCCTTGTCCTCATGATCACTGGTGCTTCATTCAAATACCATTAAATTGCCTCACTACCACCCTATAAAAGGTCTCCCCAACTGCCAGCTCCTCAGATCACTGGCTCCTTCCAGTCCTGTTCCTATCAGCAGCGGGTAAGTCTCTGTACCTGGGATAACAACAGAATGAAAGAGAGCCGTGATGGAGGGGGCGTGGAAAAGTCTGGAGGAGGGTGGTCAGGACTAGGCACTAAGGGCCATCGCTGAAGAAAGCTGAGGGCAGCAGCTGGTAGGAAAGGAGGCTGGAGGATTGGAGGAGGGTAGAGGTGTGAGTTGAGCCATCGGGCCTTTGGGAAAAGGGCTTTTCAGAGAACTGGGTAATCATCCTCTCTCGCTGACTGTAGTTGTGCCGTCCTCTCTGAGATCCATTAATGAGGGAAAGCCTAGCTGATCCAAAGAGAAAATGGTGGAAACGTACTCAAATTTGGCCTTGTTAGGCTCTGCCAGGCTCAGCTTGAGACTCATGTTGGCTTGGGGTCTATTGACATGAAATTGCCTTCCCTGAGTCTGTCTGTCTGGGCAGGAGAAAGGAAAGACACTCCTTTTTTTTTTTTAAACTAAAAATTTTTGGGGGGTGATATTGAAAAGCCACTGAATGAATTGATGGCAAGGTAAACTCAGTGGAAACAACAATTTACCAACAAGCATTCATAATGCAGACACTACAGTGCCTGAGGGGAGAGAAGGCTTAGAGAGTTGGGCAGAAATGCAGACATCTTGCAAGCCCTTCATTGCCCATTGTGGAAACTGAGGCCCAGTGATGAGTGGTGCCTTATCCAAAGTCACATGGCCACATGGAAGAACAAGAACTGAGCCTAAGGTAGCAGGTCCACCTGAATGCCAGATTGACAGCTTATGGGTGCCCATGATCTCCTCACAGACCAGGCTATCCATGACCTCCTCCCAGACCAGGCTATTCAAAGCGGGTGCTGCAGGTGCAACTGGACATCTTCCTAGTTCTGACTAAACCTTTCTTCTCAGATTTTGCAAAGCACAGAAAGATGTGTGACCAGCAGAAGCAGGTGCAGTTCCCTCCATCTTGTGTGAAAGGTTCAGGATTGGGGGCTGCGCAAAGTTCCCAAGTTACCGCTGTGAAATGCGCAGCTCCATGCCCAGCTCCATGCGTCACTCAGACCTGCGTGAAATGCCCAGCTCCATGCGTCACTCAGACTTGTGTGAAATGCCCAGCTCCATGCCAGACAACCTATGTGAAATGTGCAGCTCCCTGCCAGACATATGTGAAGTGCCCAGCTCCGTGCCAGACAACCTATGTAAAATGCCCAGCTCCGTGCCAGACGACCTACGTGCAATACCCAACTGTCTACCCGACCCAGACGTACTATGTCCAGTACCCTTCTTATGCCCAGAGCTACTACCTTCAGTCTTCTGCAGGTGGCTCGGGCGCCCAGAGCTACTACCTCCAGTCTTCTGGAGGTGGCTCGGGCGCCCAGAGCTACTACCTCCAGTCTTCTGGAGGTGGCTCGGGTGCCCAGTGCTGTGTCCCTGATCCATGCTCTGCTCCCTGTTCCACCAGCTACTGCTGTCTGGCTCCCCGGACCTTCGGGGTGAGTCCCCTGAGACGCTGGGTCCAACGGCCTCAGAACTGCAACTCAGGATCCTCTGGCTGCTGTGAGGACTCTGGGTGCTGCAGCTCCGGGTGCTGCAGCTCCGGATGCTGCTCCGGGTGCTGCTCTGGGATCTGCTGTTTGGGAATTATTCCCATGAGGTCTGAAGGTCCCGCGTGCTGTCATCGCGAGGATGACTGCTGCTGCTAAATACAGAAACACAGCTCTAGCTCTCCTTCCAAATTCATTGCCTGCTCCGCCTTCTGGACCTTCACCGGCCCCTGCCTGCTCTCTGTCTTCCCAGTGATGTAGAACTTCATTGCTTCACCTCCGCTCTTTGCTTCTTTATCAAGGCAGCCTGCCAGAGTTAGCGCAGCCCCCAAACTTTGGCAAGAATAAAACTTTGGATGCAATCCGGTGACTTCCTGTTTGTTTATTTGGTCTATGTTTTTTTCCAATGGAAACTCTTCCTCCTTCCTTTCTTACTCTTGCTTCTCAAGAGGACAGGTCCATGAGGATATGACTAAGCAGACCAAGCTGGTGCAATCCCATGTGGGATGCCTATGCTTTCTAGAATGCTCAGAATAAACCTCCCTCTGCAAGTCAGCAGGATCTGAGAGTGGAGATTTGAAGAGTTAAAGGTTGAAGGTTGCCTGCCCTCTAATTAGTCTGAGAAGAGGGTTTGGCCATGATGAGGTCCTCCTGGTAGCATGTTCTCTGAGTGTAAGTAAACTCAAAATCATCTTCCTGGATGTTGAGGGAAATGCAAAATCAGACCTGTTGGGGAGGATCACTGGACGATGCCCCTGCTACTGTGCGAGTGGCTTGAACCCATGGTGGCCATATGGGTTACATTTTCTCATCTGATAGGTTTGCCCTCCTCAAAGGGTAAAGGCCTGAGGGAAGAGGCTGGGTGGGACTCCCTGAAATAGGTAGGCATTCCCCATGTCAGCCCTGGTGAGGCAGCCTTGATGGTGAGAAGCCTCCAAGAGGAAGGTGAGTCTCGTGAGGTGAGTATCTGGGTCCCAAGGCCAGTCACCCTTCATCAATTGCATGATCTTCTTTCTCTCCTTCTTGCTATCTCTAGAGCAGGGCTGAGGAAACCTTTTTCTGCTAAGGGCCATTTGGATATTTATAGCATTGTTTCCAGGCCATACAAAATTCTCAATTTAAAAATTAGCTGCTCCATTTGAGCAAACATTTAATTAACTCACCCCTAATGCCTTGGCAGGGCCAGACTAAGTGGTTTCGAGGGCCTTAAACAGCTCACGGGCCGGACGTTCCCCACCCCTGCTCCAGAGGCTTTGGGGTGGATTTTTATAACTGGAAACTGTAAACACACACATTAAAAATATAGGTAGATCGACAACTGCTTCAAAGCAACCCCATGAAGAGACAACATTTTTGGCAGATTCATAAAAAAAATGGATAAATAAGAGCAGGCAATCTCATGTTTGCCTCTAAGCAAGCTCTGTTCAGGGACACAGTGGTAGCAGAAAGTCATCTTGACTGCTATGCTGCCTTTGAACACTAAATTACCTGTGGCTCCACAAATCAGATTCTGCCTTCCCCCTCACCTCCTTTCCAATCCAATCCTATGAACTTGCAGCCCAGTAGCATAGAAAGAATAAATCTAAAACAGCTGCCCAGTAGCATTCGTTTACCTGGTTCTCTCCTAGCCCTGTTATGTTGCTGTGTGTAACTTGTCTCTGGATCTAGTTCTCACAGTTTGGGCTGTACTATGAGTAAGGTACCTTCAAGTGTCAACATTGGTGGCTTTTGCCTCCCAGGACAGGCACCTGGACACTCCTGCACAATTCTGGCACGCTTATGTATAAAACTTACGGTTATAAATGTGACCTTCGAGTATTCCACTTCAGCAAGCTAATTAAAAATTCTACCCTAGCCTGTTTCTTTTATAACTTAAAAAATTGTAACATGTCCTTTCTTATGTAAGACAATCCAGATTTCCTGACTCCTGGTCCCTCTACACCAGTGTTTCCCAAACTTTTGACATATGTGTACCCCTTCTATAATTTTCATAACGCTGAGTATTCCTCGTACTCATGAGAACGTAGAATTAGGCACAGCTAAGTACGGTGCAGTGCATATCCCCACCAAACTCCGATGCAACGCGTACCCCCACCAAACTCTTCCCGTACCCCTGGGGGTACGCGTACCGCACTTTGGGAAACATTGCTCTACAATATTCACCTGGGGCGTTCTATGAGCAATTTAAAGAGAAGGTCAAGCCCAGAACATGGAGCCAAACTCCTGGGAAGCTGGGAAGAGCTTCCTTGGACAGGCTGAGGTGCTCTCTGCTGGGATCTAGGCTGAGTCTGCTTCTGCACAATTGTCACAGAATAGGAAAACCTGCTGAAGGGAATTCAAACTCCACTTCCCAATGTGCTATATTTTTCAATGATGTTTTCTCTTTCAGAAAAATGCCTATGCAAAAATTGTTGCCAATGGTAGGCTTCATAATATTTCCCATAAACAATCAATACAAATATAGCTATAGACGTCTACATTTTTGTTTCTCATAATATATTATGTATATGTTATATATGAATGTATCGCCAATATTATTAAATAGCCAGAAGAAAAAATGACTCAAGTCTGTTCTTGACTCCTATAGGGGAAGGGCAGAAGGAATCGCCTTTTATTGATTGAGGACCTACTATGTTCTGGGTCCTTTATTCACTGTGCATGTGAAGCTTCTCTTTTCTGAGCAATGAAATGACTGATGTAAATTGCCTGGCAGGTATGGGGGGAGCAGCAGGAGCTTTTGAGCCAGACAGGTCCATTTCCTGACCCTCTGATACCAGAGAAGTTATACGCTCTCTCCACTATGAGGGATCCTGTCTCATAAACCTGCCTAAAATGGCACCTAGCGTGTGTTAGTCCACAAGACTTGAAGCCATTTTCCTGTTTTTGGCTGAAGGGGTTTGGTCAGTGAATCTGAAAGGCAACCTAGAGAGTAAGAGAGTGACAATCATATTAAATGAAAAAAATACTAAGGGATTTTCATTGTTTGGAATTTTATAGTTCTGAAATAAAATGCAACAAGAGAAAGGATAAAATTATGAGAATGTATAACTCGATATTACAAATGCCTATTGTCCCTCATTTTCTCCCCCCTTTGTTCTTATCCCGGCTCTGCCACCATTCTTTCTATAACATTGAATAAGCCATTTCACCTCTTTGAACCTCTGTCTCCTCCTCCATAAAACGAAGAAGTTGGATGAGACCATCCCTAAGGACCTTTGCTATCTCTTTTAGTCTGTACTTCCAGTCTTTTTTAATCTACCTCAAAGTTCAGAGCAATGTCTTTTCAAGAAAGCAGAAATGGGGGATAGCTTGATGGATAACTAGTTCCATCCTTTCAGTGGGCAATGGGAGTTGGGCACCCAGGTAAGATAACAGCTACTCTCCTGGGCTCAGCGCTTGCAAGAAGGGAATATAGGCCAGGTTGCCAGACAGAAGTTGGCTGGGAAAATGTCACAATCAGATGTCATTCTTTGTCATTGGTGTAAGCATCTCCACCCAGCTGATGGTTACTGACAACCTGATTAGTAAGGAGACTCTGTGAGGCAGGTGGGTGTTGGAGGGGGCTGGGCCACAGGGGAAAAGAGAGGGGGTGGAATAATGTGTACAGCACCAAAGGGATGAGAAAGATTGATAGTGATTAATATCCTCAGAGATCCTCGTGGCAAGGCCTCGTGTTTACTCACGTGGATGATCTGCTGGGACTTAACTACTAGGCCAGGTCTTACTTTGAAGCCTTTGTTCATATATATATATAATATATATGCATATATATATGTATGTATATATATGTATATATATATATATATATATATATATATATATATATATATATATATAATTGATTTTTCACTGAGAGGAAGGGAGAGGGATAGAAAACTAGAAACATCAATGAGAGAGAAACATTGACCAGCTGCCTCCTGCACATCCCCCACCGGGGATGTGCCCACAACCAATGTACATGCCCTTGACAGAAATCGAACCTAGGACCTTTCAGTCCATAGACAGATGCTCTATCCACTGAGCCAAACCAGTTTCGGTGAAGCCTTTGTTTTTAACCAGTATGTGGTTCCACCTTCTAGTCTAGAACTTGAGTTCTCACATATGAAGGGCTTCAGCGCCTTTATGACAGTTGATAATCTGCTTCTGTTACAGTGATTTTTGTCTTCAATTTCTCTTCAATTTGTCACTTCTGTGCTTCCTTTTCTCTCTGGGTCTCCTTTTAAATACCACCAGTAATAATAACCAAAACTTCAATGCAAAAGCTAGTTTACATGCTCTTTATGAATTACAAAGCAATTCCAAATCTATCACCTAATTTTGAAAAACAACCATATGCAACAGGATTGATGTTCATTACTGCTTCAACGTAGCAGCTGAGGACCCTGAGGTGGAGAGGTTAAGTGACTTGAGCCAGATGACTAGGATGAGGTGGGGCAGGACTCAAAGCCAGGTGTTTTGCGCATAGATCTCATTCTTATTTCCTTGACAGCTGTTGCTCACTTGGGTCTCCCCATTTTCCACGTTTTATTTCCTCATCCTCTGTTCCTTGTCTCTGCATTTGGGGACCTGTGGCCTGGGTACAAACCAAGGTGGTCCTGGAAAGTCAAGGCAGAGAAGATGGCCTTACATCTCAGGAGTTACCTGCCTTATTCACACACTGGAACTCTCCCCTTCAGCTTCCACACCTACTATTATTAATAATATTAATAACCTATTGAAACCGAAAGGTTAGATCAGTCTCCAAAATTCCATTCCCATAAACTGCATTATAAAGAAAGGTTCCCATGTTTAAATGCATCAGGAAACAATGAATTGTTTGAAACATCACACTGATATGAACTCCATGCGTACACGGTGTAACAGTGTGTTGTGCACTTATAGAAATGCTGCATTAAACATGGACAACGTGATAGTTTCCCAAAGAAGGTATGTATTTCCAACAGTTGCATCCTTCACATCACACTGCTAATGAATGTGGCCTCAGAAAGTGCTGCACCTTTAAAGATCTGAGCTGCTTTTTCAATAGAGATCAGAGAAAGGATCCACGTATTTCCAATTGACCTTCCAATTATCACACAGTTTCTCCTCCGTGGGCTGTTTCTGGGCCATCGGATGTTTAATAGATGTTCATGATACAGCTATGAAAATATTTGTTGATG